CCCCCCTCCCCTCTAGAACCATGTTTGTTTTTCAGAGTCCATCGTCTCTCATGAGAACACTCTTTTCTGATAGATTTATCCATGAAAATACATGGACTATATTAGAAAGGAGCTTTTGCAGGAGTAATTTAGGGACTAGAGAGGGACCAAAAGATGGGCAGGAGTCATTCCTGTATTTTTGGCCACTACCATTTTTTATAGCCCTCTCTTTCTTAGGAATGAGAATAAAATCTAAACAATAAGCTACTGCTCTGTCTGATCTAATTATAGAGGAGTTTCACAATCCATACATCACCCACCTTGTCTGCCCAAGACATCTTATGTGATGTGTATGGTGAATATTAGCTTTAAAAAAACCATGTTAATTTAAAAAAAAACATATTAATATAACACCATAATTTCCACTCAATTCTAAACCATTAATTCCAACAAATATGGGGCATGACAACAAACTTCAATTTTTTTAATTTTTTTTAAAGATTTTATTTATTTATTTGAGAGAGAGAGAGATTGAGAGAACGAGTGGGGGGGAGGGGCAGGGGAAGAAGCAGACTCCCTGCAGAGCAGGGAGCCTGACATGGGGCTCGTTCCCAGGACCCTGGGATCATGACCTGAGCCGAAGGAGGACGCTTAACTGACTGAGCCACCCAGGTGCCCAAACTTCAATTTTTTCAAAGGTCTGTGTAACTAAAGTCACATTGACAGTTCAAGATCATGGAAGTAACATACCAATGGAATGACTGAAATATTCAGCAAAACAAATGTTCATAGCATTTTAACTGCCGATACCAAATCTTCCACAAAGTTGCTATCCTACAGGGCTTGCCGTTAGGAACACCATATTGATGACGTCACCTCTTTCTCATCCAAGGCTTCTCAAAGACAACATAGAACCCAGCAGACCTAACTGGGAAGTGCAATGATGGCTGGTTAGCTGTAAAAGAACTCCCATCTTGCAAATTTTACAACCATCATGCTTCCTTTAAATTTTTTTCTGGCCTCTGTTTTCTTGACAAACTCCAGACAAATACGTTCTTTTGCCAAAGTCCTAGCTCCTTCGCACTGGTCCCCTAGAACAAGGGCATATAGATACGATGGGGTCTGAGTTTCAAAATCCTCTAACTCATTTTCCGTATTCTTAGGACTTTGGTGATGTCACTGTAGCCTTGAATTATGTCTTTTTGAGATCTTTTCGGGGCAGCTAAAAGACAGTGACAGACTCGACAAGTGGAGTTTGATCCCTTCAGAGCCAGGAAGCATTGGCAGCACAGGGTAGTGAAAAATTCCATCAAGGGCCAGGAAATTAGAGAGAAGCCCTCCTGCCACATGCTAGCTGGGGATACAAAGAGACAGTAGAAAGGAACATAGCACATTATGGGGGCACCTGGGTGGTACAGTCAGTTAAGCGTCCAACTCGAGGTTTCAGCCCAAGTCGTAATCTCCCAGGTGTGGGATCGAGCCTCGCATTGGGCTCCGTGCTCAGCAGCTTCTGCCTCCACCCCCACCACTCATGCTCTTATAAGTCTTAAAAAAAAAAAAAAAAACACAGCACATTATAGACACTTAAATACTTGTTAAATCTGAATTTTCTGTGTTGCCTAGATTTTTGTGCTTTTGGTATTAAACCAGGAAGGCTACAAACTGAAAGGGGAAATTAAATCAAGAAGGGATAAAAGGATGGCAGTTCATTGCATTGGCCATTTTTTCAGGTTTTGGTGCTCATGAAATACTTTTGCATTTATTCAACATTATTGTTAGGATGCCTATTAGCATTTCATAAACATAAAGATGCCGATCCTCTCTTACCTCAGATAGCTAGCTCTTGGAATGGTCAGTGGACACAAGGTTCAGCAAATTGCAATGCTGGTGTCTGTAAATGAAAAAGGTAAACATTACTCTTAGGTACTAAGCTATAGTTATCATAAACTCATATATATAGCAGTTTCTTGTTTTGCAAAACATTTTCATATTCATTATCTCATTTCACTCCATAACCCCCCAATGAAGAAGCAGGAAGAGATTAGTCTACTCACTTCATTGGTGAGGAAACAAAAACTCATGGAGGAAGAGACAGAAGGAGAAGGGAACTAACATATTTCTCATGACTAACTTCACAATTATATTTTGAATGACTATTACTGTCTTCATCTTACAGATACGGAAATGGAAGTTCAGGAAAGATGGGTGACCTGCCCAAGACTACACAGTACAGTACACAGAGGGTAAAAGTTTGGACTCTCTGGACTCCGCCTGTTGGTCCAGTGATCCTTCCTTTATAGCTTAGTCTGTCCTGGGCTATTAGGTTAGGAAAACACAAACAACTCATTGACTTTCTCTACTAGGGTGGGTGGAAGAGGGAATAATACAATAAAACCAGCTATTTGATTGACATGAGAAAGTGGCAAAAACACATGGGATTTGGAGCCAGTCAGACTTGTCTTCCTCTTAAGGATGTCCTTGGGCAAGTTACTTAAACTCTCTGAGTGTCAATTTCCTTATATGTAAATAGGGATTATAATATCTACTTCATAGCCCAAGCTCAGTTAAACTTTTTTTGTAAGATTTTCCTCCATTATTTCATATCTATAGATATGGACAGTGGTGATATACAAAACATTAATATCTCTTCCTATGAGCCCATGTTTATCTGATCAAAGAGTGATGTTACAAGCTCACAATCTACAGAATATCTCTAGGTTGGGAATTTCTTCGATTTCATATGCCTAATTCTAAAACACCGCAATACTTATCTGTGTGTATCTCCCATGGCCTCACCTAACAACGACACAAAGAATGTTTGTTTCAAAAGACAACACCCCAAAATGTAAAAATCAAGTGTCCTCTCGACCCCAAAAAGCAAGAGATGCTGCTCTAGGTGAAGGACCTGCAGCTGCATCCCAAATCATTTGAAAGTCTGGGCCTTTGTGCCTGAAGTTTGTCCCTTAGATTCAGAGAGATGGAGCTTCCAACAGAAGAACATATCGGACTCAAATAAGATTAAGAATAGAATGTGGTTGATGGGGCGCCTAGGTGGCTCAGTCGTTAAGCGTCTGCCTTCGGCTCAGGTCATGATCCCGGGGTCCTGGGATCGAGCCCCGCATTGGGCTCCCTGCTCTGCGGAAAGCCTACTTCTCCCTCCTCCACTCCCCCTGCTTGTGTCCCCTCTCTTGCTGTCTCTTTCTCTCTGTCAAATAAATAAATAAAACCTTTAAAAAAAAAAAAAATAGAATGTGGTTGATAAGATACCCTGCAAGAAAGTCTTGTCATAGGCCACCAAAATCAAAACAGTCATCATCTTTATTACCAATTTTACCAATAAGGAAACCAAACTTCAAAGATCGTATGGTTAAAATGGATCAGATCAAAATGTAACCTTGAATCTTGACACCAAAACCAGGAAGGGCCCTTCTATTACATGATGCAACCTCCCATTTGGGAGCACATTACCATATAAAAGTCAACTGTCAAGGCACCAAAGCACATTTAGTATTGAGCCTGCTTCCCTGGCAAGTAAAAGGAGAGAGAGAGAGAGAGAGAAGACTTCATAACTGTGGTCTAACCAGAAGGTGACACATTATGAAGCTGGGGCAAAAGGAGTGTTCAAAGCAGGGTTACCATGCAGACTTTCTCAGCTCTCCCCAGTGCAGTTTCAGAGATGCAACATCTTTGGCAAACTCTCAAAACACAACCACAGAAACAACAGAAGCCAGCAACCCTGAATTCTCTCTCATCAAGAAGTCTCAGTGCTCAGCAATAGAGAAGCTGAAGCCTCCTCGCTATGAAGTTCACCGGCCCTCTTCACATGATTCGAGTGTCCTCAATAACTCATACATATTACCTAATGCAATGGAGTTCTCCACTAGACCCATAAAGGCATCTTAGACAACTGGCAAACCCCACTGGAGCATCTTGATAATAAAGCCAGTCATCCTTAGCCTCCTCTGTATTTATGACTGCTGACCAAGACCCTGGCAGTCTGCATCCTTGGTCAAACCACCCGCTCTCTCTCAAGAAAAATGTTCTCATCTTCAGAAGCAATTTCAACCCAAAATAAAGAAACCTGTATACTCAGCATTTAATTTGCAAACTTTCAACCTATTAATTAAAGTATGTGCAAAAGCAAGACTCACCAAGTCAACTTGGAGCTGGTAGAGAATAATTGATAATTTACACTGTATTTTGGGAAAAACAGGAATGAACAAATGAAGCCAATGAAAAAGAGAGAGAGGAAAGAAATATGACAGGGAATAAGGAAAAAGGCAGAAAGGAATGGAAGGATGTGAGAAATAAAGGAGCAGAGAGAACTGCTCCAAAAGGTTTTTCATAAACCACAATGTCTTCTGAACTGACCCCTGCACCCTAGGACAATTTTTAAGCAACACAAGTCTACGATGATGAACCTCACATTATGAACACAAACTCCAACCAATTGACACCAGAATCACTGTGGCCAATGTAAAGATACCTCTTAATACTTGATATTTTACAAGTGCTATATTACCAACGAGCAACACGACAGAGCCTTGTAAAAACTTGCACTAAGCCAACAAATGGGTAACTCCTTAGCACTGTGGTCCCAGATAACATCTTGAAAAGAAGAGCTGAATGGGGACTGAGTGCCTGGGTTCTGCTCTTAGCACTTTATTTTATTTTATTTTTTTAAAGATTTTATTTATTTATTTGACAGAGAGAGATAGCGAGAGCAGGAACACAAGCAGGGGGAGTGGGAGAGGGAGAAGCAGGCTTCCTGCCG